TTTTAAAAATACAGTGTGTAATTTTAGAATGTACTAAGCAGAACCCAAATGGAAGTTATGTACTATACTAAGTGTTATAAACTTAGAGGAAAGAGATAAAGGCGTCATATTCCAATTAGTGTACAGGAGAAATTTTGTTTAAAGAGAAAAGATAATAGATAGCTGGAAACAGGACAGACAAAGAATAATAAGCATAATGATTTGAACTGAGATGAGATAAATAAAATAAAACTAAGAAAGTTAAAAGAGGAGAAGCTATATAGAAAATGTAAAATGGTAATAAGATATGAAATGGTATATAAAATGAACATGAATTTGAACTTGTGTCTGTACGAAGAGATGTAACCCAGGGTCAAGCTGCTTTCAGAAAAGATGTTTTATGTTTTTATGTTTTGTTTGTTTGTGCATTGTTTTTGAAAATCAATAAAATTTGTTGGAAAAGAAAAAGAAAAAGAACAAATAAAGTCTAAGTCATATATGACAACAAATAAACCAAAGGACCGGATTTTTTTTTTTTTAAAAAAAAACAATAACATGATGGATTTTATTTCTCACCCATATTAAATCATTTGCTGAATCCAGAAAAGGATTAACTTTCCTAGTCCCTCTTTTGGTGTTCTCCTGAGCTGAAAGAGAAATAGAGAGGAAAAAGATCTGGGTGACATATTGTTGATACTAACCCTAAGAACCTAAGAACCTTTTCCAGCAGGAAAAAAAAGGGGATCCACAAAAGGGGATCACCTGACCTTGGGACACACCATAGGTCATAAATATGAACCCGTTGCCAAGCATCTGAATTTTGATCATGGGGATGCTGCAAAGATTGTAACTGTGAAAAATGGTCATAAGTCACTTTTTTCAGTGCTGGTGTAACTAAATGAACTGTTGTAAGTTGAGGACTACCTGTATAAGAGATGAAATAATGTGCTGAAAAAACTCTAGGATAAAGCATCCAGTGAAAATAATTGATGGGAAGGTAGCTTCTTTTTCTTTTCATCAACACTGTATACCAAAGTGTAATTAAATAATTGGCATCCTCATCACTGAGCCTTTTCTTTAAAAAAATTCCCCCAAATATTACAAGCGTACTTATTAAATGGAATTAACTTCTGGATTTCTAATCAAACCATTCAGATGGAACAGACTCCAGAACACAACAAAATGTTCTGCTAGACCCGTCCAGTATAGCTCATTCAGTTCAGCATCTGTTTTGTCATGGTAATCAAGCAGGAAGCCAGAATATCAACCCACCAGTACCTTTTGCCTTATACACTTTAGCAGGGGGTATTGAGAAGCATATTATCTTTTACAGTATGTGAAAAGTGACACACAGCCATCATGACTAATAACCACTAATAACCAATGAAGGGGGGAAAGTTGCATCTGTCCTGAATATCCCATCCTTCCATTCATAAGATGACATGCATTTCCTATGATGGCTGTGAGAACTTTTGCATCGGTCCTGTGGGAATGAAAACTCACATTCAGAAAACTCAGAAGCAGCTTTAATCCCATAATGGCTTTGTAATCATCAAAGAAGCTGGATGTGTGTTCACACATCACATACACATGTGGCCCCTGTAATTATTTTCAAGCAAGATTCCTTTCCTTTCTTGACTGTGGGTGAAAGGAGCAGCAGCTGTTTAACCATCCTGCCCATTAATGTTTATTAATCCATCAACTGGGAAGGAAAAGCAACAGCCTTTTTCCTGGTGTATGTTCATCAGGACAGCTATGCAATTTTCAACATAGGCAAAGAGGGTCAGCCTGGAAAAATGATGATAGAAAAAGAGAAAGCAGTTGAGAGAGAAAGAATTTACTGAGAAAGCTGTTCTGCTAAAAGGACTGTTCATAGATTTACAACCCCAACTGCTTTCCTCTTCCCTGGATTCTCCAATACATTTGCACAATTTCCCTGGGCCAAGAAAGTTTGCCTCACTGGAAGGTTATTGACTTCTATCAAAATCCCTAAGAAAAAAATATTGTTTACTTAAAACAGCTGCAGAGAATAACTCAGATTGAAACAGACATCATAACAACATACATGGGGAGACATCTAAAGGTGCCCCAATGTACTGCAATATCTATCTATCATCTATCTATCATATATCACTATCTATCTATCTTACCTATAATCTATCTATCTATCTATCTATCTATCTATCTATCTATCTATCTATCATCTACAGTGTCTATCTATCATCTATCTGTATCTACAGATATCTATCTATCTATCTATCTATCTATCTATCTATCTATCATCTATCTATCATCTATCTATCATCTATCTCTATCTATCTATCTATCATGTATCTGTATCTACAGTATCTATCTATCTATCTATCTATCTATCTATCTATCTATCTATCTATCTATCTATCTATCTCCATCCATTGATCTATCCAAATATTGTCAGGCAGGCAGTCACTTAAAAGGGACATCATACATAAATTTCCAGTTAGAAAGGATATTCCAATCTGATTATAAGCAGCATGCCTTGTTTGAAAAAGAACTGGTTAGCAGAGCAAAACTATTTATGGGAATAGAGTCGGATTCTGGCTCCTGTTTCTCCTCCTGTCTTCCGCTCCATCAAAGCTGTATTTTCATATTTTTATTATAAGCTTGACTCCAGAGCTATCAATTGCCAAGGGACCATTGGTTGTCTTTGCATAGGACTCTGTGTAAGTGGGATGTTGCCCATGTGCTTCAATAGAAAGAATGAAACTTAAAAGTTCTGCTTCATTTTGCATGTCTCCACGATTATTATTTTCACTTACTGAATGCAAAGTAGGGCAATGTTGAAGCTTCCTACAACTGGCAGTAGTCTGGATATGATGAATTACTATATTCTGGAGAATGATTTTCATATACCTCTAGCTGCACCAATGTTTTCAAACTTAATTTTCTCAAACAGAGAACTTTCAGAATGTACATATCCACAAGAAGGAGAGAGGCACTATATCAACCTCCATGTTTCTTTCCACTTACTTTAAGAGGAACTAATCTTGTATAATTTAACTCTCCCCTTTATCTGAATGAAAGGATTTAATTATAATTAATATCTTAAACTTATTTACGATATCATTTCAAAAACACAAAAGAAATATTTGTTTCACTTGAGTTCTGTGTGAAATGCACAATATTAAGAAGATCTGAATTCATTTTGTTGAGGTACTTTTTTTCCCCCAAAATTTTCTGGTTCTCCACATTTGGAGCATGTCACTGTGGCTTTGTAGACCCTACATTGGCTTCCAGGTACATTTAAGATGCTGGTTTTCACCTATGCAGCCCTCTTGGCACAGGACCACCCATTCCACCCAGTCTGACCAATTTGATCAATGACAGATAAAATAGTACAAATCCCACACTTCCAGGAAGCTCATAGGACTGAAGCAAAAAGATAGCAATAACAGAGTTGGAAGGGACCTTGAACATCCTCTAGTCCAGTGGTGGTATTCTACCAGTTCAGCCCGGTTTTGGTGTACTGGTAGCACCAAAGATCGGCGAAGACTGAACCAGTTCTCTCTGAGGAGCTGCTGTTGGGCCCACCCACCCACCCGGGCTCCCATATTGACCTTTATTCCCTGCTTTTGAAATGCAGCTGCTTTGCGCGGCACAGCAGATTGCAGCATGTCAGCTGCTGAAGCGACTGGGAGAGTGCAGGATTGCAGGAGGTGAGTTGGAAAGCCTCTTGGCACAAGTGCATGTGCAAAGTGTGTGCACACACACAAAGTGTGCCCACCAAGCCATGACCACCGAACCGGTGATAAACTATTTTGAAACGCACCACTGCTCTAGTCTAACCTCTGGTGAAGCAGGAAACCCTATACCATTTCAGACAAATGGTTCTCCGATCTCTCTTTAAAAATCTCCAGTGTTGGAGCACCCACAATTTCTGGAAGCAAGTTTTTCCACTGATTAATTGTTCTAGCTGTCTGGAAATTTCTCCTTAGTTTCAGGTTGGTTCTCTCCTTGATTAGTTTCCATTCCTGCCTTCAGGTGCTTTAGAGACTAGCTTGACCCTCTCTTCTGTGTGTGTATGTGTGTGTCAATGCAATATTAAAAAAAACTTCTCAAACTAGCCCCTTTTTTGTTGACCTTTCAAAAACTTCTGAAGACAGTTTTTCAAAGAACCTTCTTTGAATTATGCCATCTGTATTTTTTTAGTAATTACCTTTATTATTCATTATTATTCTTTCAATTAGCATGTTTATTCTTTATTGTTCTTTCAGTTGGCATGGTTTAATGGTAATTTATTATAGTTTTGACTAATGTTGACCTTTATTGTGGATGTTCCAAATTGTTTTATTATAATCTACATAAGCTACCAAAAGTCTTGTTTGCAGGAGAATGGAAAATGTTTAATAAATAGATAAATAAAGAAACAAATTACTCTGGGTGAGCTGCAGAGCTGTTCTGATCTGGAAAGGGTTATGGTCAACTCACTGTGTAATCAAACATTTTGCTGTGTCAAAAATGCAATTCACAGCTTTTCCTGACCATCGTGTAATTAGTTTTACCTGGTCTTGTGTTGATATACAGAAACTAATCAAGAAACAAATCTGTTATGTAGAAATTAAAGCTTGGAAAGATTTTCATAACAAACAATTAAAAAGGAAAGGAAACATCACCTTGTGAATTCATGAGTTGCAAACTGCTATGGACCACTATAATAAAAGTCCACTCCCAAAAGGCAAACAGAATAGAGGGGTTCTGCAGAAAGAAGAAGCCACACACACCCAGTCACATGGCCATGCCCACCTAGCCATGCCCACAGAACCAATTGTTAAAAAATTTGAATCCCACCCTTGCTCTGTAGAGATCTAATAATGCTTGGTCTGGATTTCTAAATATGTATAAAAGACTAAAGAGGATTCTTTACAAGAAATTCCAAAGATCCTTTCTTTTATCAATCAAGCGTTCTGTATTCCTGGCTCACTACAGATATGATGCTTATTCTCAGCCTCCGTTTTTGAACAGAGCTGACGACAGCACCAGAGTCACGTCTTTGGAGCGGTTGTTTTCTTGTTTAATAACTTTCTCAGTGCACCCTTCACCTCTTTGTTTCTAAGGCTGTAGATGAGGGGATTCATCATGGGGGTGACCACCGTGTAGAACACAGACACAGCCTTATCCTGGCCTGTAGCAGAACTGACTGAGCTTGGCCTCATGTAGGCAAAGAGTGCTGTGCCATAGAAAAGGCTCACCACCAGGAGATGGGAACCACAGGTCGAGATGGCACGGCGTTGGCCCTCAGCTGAGCGAATGTGCAAGATGGTAATCCCAATGCGGGCATAAGAGGCAGCGATGAGGATGAAAGGCAGCAGCAGAAGAAGGGAGCCAAAGACAAACACAACTGTCTCTGCCTCTGAAGAGTCATCAGATGCCAGCTTTATCACAGCCGGTACCTCACAGAAGAACTGATTTATGTGATTTTGGATACAGTACGACAGGCGCAGAGCAAAAACATTGACAATGAGGGAATTGAGGAAGCCACTCAACCAAGCAGCTCCTGTGGTCCAACTACAGAAGTGCCAGTTTATGATGCTGGTATAGTGTAAGGGGTGGCAAATTGCCACATAGCGGTCATAGGCCATGAGACCCAAGAGCACACATTCTGCCATACCAAACACCAGGAAAATATACATCTGGAAGGCACACCGGACAAAGGATATGGCTTTATGCCTAGAAAGGAGGTGCACCAACATCTGTGGACTAGTAACTGAGGAATAGCAAATGTCCAGCAGAGACAAATGGAGGAGGAAGAAATACATTGGGGTGTGTAAGCGATGTTCAACCCCAATTAACATCACCATGGAGCAGTTACCTGCTAGGGTAACTAAGTATACGACCAAAAAGAGAACAAAAAGCATAGTTTCGGTCATGTCCCCCTCTGCCAGGCCCAGGAGGACAAACTCAGCTACGGAGCTCTGATTGCACATCTCCTTCACATGTGCCAGCCAGCCAAACCCTGCAGAACTGAAACAGAAAGAAGAAAGGTCAGAAGGAAGTCTTATCACTGCTCCCATTATTCACTCTTTTGCTCAAAGGAACATTGGTTAGGTAACATACTTCCATATTGTTTGCTAAGGGGTGACTCCAGAGTGAAGTTAATGTGAAATATGCTATTGTCTGGTTTCCAGTCTCCAGCGTAGGATACAGATCATTCATTCAGATATTTATTTTGCTTCTTTTTTATGCTCCCTTCCTAATCTCTTTGTTCTTGGTGATTCTACTGCTTCCTCTCAAGCACTTTAAAAAGGTGGCTGTCTTTATTAATTTTTAATTAATTTGGTTAATTAGTTTGCTAGACAGTTTAGACCTTAGTTTATTTTTCCAATCCTCCTTCCCTTATCTGCATCATTGACTTTTTTTCCCTATAGAAAGTTTGTCATTCCTAAAGTAGTAATATAAGGCATAAGAGTCACTGCAGCAAGAAAAGGCTGGACCTGCTTTAGAAAGGATCCTACTTCAATGTGATCCTGCTTTGGAAGTGGACATGGTCCATTAAAATGGTCTCACCTTGACTTGCTGTTCCTGTTTCAAAACATTCAGATAGCAGCATGGCCATGATAAGCACGAATGTAGGTTTGGACATGCACAGCTATGCTGATCTTTAAAAAGAAAAAAAAGGTAACTTTAAGATAGGTGGACTTCAACTCTCAGAATTCCCTAGCCATCTTTGCTAAGAATTCTGGGAATCGCAGTCCATCTGGCTGAAAGCTGCCTGGTTGGGAAGTGCTGCCTGAAATATAATTTTCTTTCTTTCTACAGTTGCATATAATGGTAGCTGCCGGGTGTCTCTCTGAAATAAGTCACATCTCCCTGGCTTACAGAAAGAAAAATAGACAGACCTTTCCCCGCCAAAACAGACTCATCCTCACCATGATATTTTGTTTATACTAAAGCTACAAGATCTAGCATAACAATGGTGTAATATGGAGGAAATTCTGCCTGCTGCCTTCCAGATGCAATTCTGTCCACAGCTTTACAATTACAAGCCAGCTTCTCCCTGTCAGTCTGGATATGCTCCATCTTTGCACAATCACTTTGTAACTGGAAACATTGGCTGGGCAATTGCTTGCTGTTATTGATTTCTGTCACAATCCAAGCAACAAAATAGTTTATTTAAGGAAACAGCTGCAGACAAACAATTCCTTCCCCCTTCCTCCCCTTTTTGTGTTTTTTGCAGAAAAGGCCCATAGTCAGAGAGACATCTAAAGGTGTTTCAGCATATTGCAATAAGCAATTCCTTTTTGTTTATAATATAAGCCCAGAACTGCAAGGACAAACATATTAGTACAGTTGCATATCAATGTCCCAGTAAAGGAAGGAGGGACAGGCAATTGGCTACTCTCCAGATCTGTCAATTTCAGATAAGGCCAATGACAAGAGGTTGCAGAAGCTGCATTCTAAACCTCCAAGAGTCACCCAGTTGCCTACTCATGCTTGAAGTTAATTTATCTATCACCTTCAGTTCTAAACAAACACTCTTGGTGTATCTGGTGAGATATGTGTAAAATGGAACCATTTCTGAATACAAATAAGGATTTGATCTCCATGCATTAGCAAAATAAATGCAGGCTCTCTTGATTTGCAGATCTTTTACAAATCGTCACTTTACACATTTTGCTTATTGCTTCTTCCATGTCTGGTACTCTCTGCATGGATGCAGAAAATGGAGAGCTGTCCTAGCAATTGTTTTGTGAATTGCAATAGCAGAGGAAGAGCTACTTTGCCTTGAAGTGAGATGCACAATGAGAAAGTTTGTTACATCCTGAGAACAGCCAACTGTAGGAGAGGGAAGCCACTTTGTTAAATGGCTTAGAATAAATTCAAAAAAAGAAAGACTTTCCTCTCCATCCTACACACCCACTCACCCACCCACAAACACACACACTGCCAACACCACTTCCCCCCACATGTCTGGTTATACGAACTGGAGCTAATGGAAAATGCAGTCAAAACATCCAGACATTTACCTGTACCAGTCAATTCTAGATGTGAGGCAATGACAGCTAAAGTATAGGAAATGATAAAATCCTTTCTAGAACAGACCAAACATCTACCTAGGTGTCCAAAACATAAGGGTCCATTAGATGTCTTAGTAAAGTCCAATCATGGAACAAAGGCAGTAATCTTTCCCCTGCTTCCCCCAACAGAGCAATTAAAGCTAACCCAACCTCTGTGAATAGACATAATTGATTTTATATACATCTTGCAGTTCCTCTCCATAGTTTTTAGTAGAGAAGCAGAAAATTATTAATATAGTTTTTGTGAGTCATTGTGTTTCTTCCCTTACAGATAATAATTTGAGTGGGCTACTATGGAATGTAGGAATAAGGTTTAGTTCTTTTTTTCTTAGATCTCATCTCTACCAAATTTCAATCCAAATTTTATCTCTGTTATCTTTAAGGTAATAATGATTATTTCATGTACACGATTTAAATTAATATCTAGTTTAGAGCAATAAGCATCCGATCAAATACTAAGCTTAGGCATATTGAGAGAGACATAGGGGCGGGGAAAGAAAACTTTTATAGTGCCATTAAACAGCACAGATCACATTGATATGATTTTTATTAGTTGCACTGCAAAATCTGCAGTTTTGCAAATCTCTTATATTTATCTAAGCAACCAGTTGCTGGAAGAAGAATAACACAATATGGTACTAGATGCAAACGATGTTTGATACTGAGGTTAAAAAATTTACTCAATGCTGAAAGATCTGAACATCTATACAGTCACCTTTTTGTTTTCTGAAGTAAATACTGTACCCATGTAGATATTCCCCTCCTAATATAAAACTTAGAATCTGGGATGATTTGAAAATGAGAGTTGAGAATCTCAAGGAGTTGCATGCTTTTCTTTGGCATTTAAAACAAGCTATGATCATAGACAGAATAATTGTAATCCCCTTGTGCAGATGTCTTTTCATAAGGTATATTGACACCCACTCCTATCTCAGCTGTAAATTGCAAGTCTGCTGCTATTAGAAAATAACATATGAAATTGACCTTCATGTTGATGGGGTCAAATATGCTAATGAATGAATCAGAGAATGCCGGATGTGAAAAAATTACTATCTGTTCTATTTTCCATTTCCCACATATAATAACCACTTTCTTAGAATTCACTGGGATAAATAAATGAAATAGCATTTGAGGGAGAATCTGTATATTTTACAGCGATAATGAACTGTTTTTCAGGAAAAGCACAGGAGAACTTTTAATGGTGTACCAGGAGAAAAATGAATTGGACTTTAGGTAATTACATCTAGTTAATATGATTACTCTTACATTTAAAATAGTTTTCTCCTGCTGACACTATATATAAAATATACAGATTGATGATAATTTTTGAAAGGACTTTAGAGTATCAGAAATCTTAAGCTCTGCACCTTTGCTTTATGATTAATACAATCAAATTTCTTTATTCTTGGTAAAACTTGTTTAAATCAACACTCTGTGTGCTATGCAAAGAAAAGCTTTCCTGAGAAAAATTATGCTACAAATCCATAGGATTTAAAATTTTTGAATCTATAGAATCATTGATACTTGGAGATATTTCAATATATATTTCTTATGGATTCCATGAGGTCTGTTTGGAAAAATTTGTAAAAAAAAATACATTTATCATCAAGGATTACACAATTCACATCAAGACATACAATCCTATTACAGTGAAAGGAATCCATCATTTCATGATACTTAAGAATCCGTTAAATAACACTTATTGTCTGAGCTATTACTCAGATAATCCAATGGTCAAACATTGCCTAAAGAAAATTAATACATAAAACATATTGAGCCCAAGTATGAATTTACTTGCATTATTTTGGTTTTCCAGATATACAGGCTTCATGAGACCCAGATATGGAATGATTTCATTGCCAAAAGTATTTGATCTTTCAAGTATCAGACAAAAACGGAGTGATCATTCAGCATGAAGTTCTATCGTGTCAGACACAGCCCATTATAAGATGAAAGTGCTAGTTGGGAAATCCCAAAGCGCACACATACCTTTGTCACAAGTTGAAGGACCAACGCGTCTCCTGGGAATTATAGGAACAAAGAAGCATGAACTTTGTTCTGCCTTTGACTCATATCCAAAGCTAATAATGATGACAAGCTATTTTGAACTCTATATGGGTTGATTGAAGTGATATGTGGATTTTGAAGGTCTAATGTAAATCACTTATCAGAAATATGGTCAAGAGGCTACTTTTCTGGGTCATTTCCATGTTTTGGAGGTAGATTGTTATTGTCCATAAAATTACAAATAAGCTGCCATTTATAACAAGGTCCTCTTGGGACCCTTTCAGAGGAGTTCTTGAAAAGGGAATTTTTATAATAATGTTTCTTTTTTTTTGCCTAGAGTTAATCTTGTTGATTAACAAGATACCTTCCTTAGAAGGATTTTATATTGACATCTAGAGAAGAAATGGCAAATTGGAAATGGCTCTAACAAAGAGGAGCCTACAACTGCGATGGAATGAAGAGCCAATTAATTGATGACTCTTTGTAGTTGTTCTCTGGGTAAGAAGAGGATTTGTGATGACCTATAAGTGCTACATACAAGGAGGTCTCAAGATAGCAGTTTCTGATGAGCTATAGGACATGAAGGAATAGCCATCTTTTTGTTGAAATCATGATTGGCACTTTCAAAAGGACATTAGGTTTGCATACTTCCTGTTCTAATTGTTTTTGGAAATTGCTTGTTAATTGTGTTTCAGATATTAGTAACTTTTTGATCAAAAAGTTTTATAGCACCAGTTGATTTTTCTTCAATTTTTTTAAAAAAATATTTTAAAAATATTTTAGAATAAACAACTAAATAATGATTAGAATTCTGATTTTGGAAAGTTACAAAGGGACTAAGGACCAAAGTAGATTTGAATTAATATTTTGGAATTAATTATAAGAATGCTTTTCTGGAAAAAAAA